ACCAGTGATTCCGCTCCCCTGGGAGCCTTGACAGTACTCGCGACTACCCTCGAGCATCCAGCAATCGAGGCCTGTCAACCGCAAGCTACCGCATGAGCCTGCCAAACTCCCGTACTCTGGGGCGACGACATTTCAGTCGCTCCTCTGCGATAATCACCTCGCTCCAAGAGGCTGAACCTGAGTTCAGTCATCGGTAACTGACCGGGAGACACGTTACATCGGTCACTTTTCCGCAGTGCAGCTCGACATCCTCGAGACAACTATCTCACAAGCACACTCTCTCGATAGTTCTCAATCCTACGATATTACCGTACGTTACACAACAAAAACTCACGATATCACACAAATACACCACTACTGTAACGCTACATAAAATGTAACGTTACACATTATAGCAAGTAAACAGTTCGTATAAGCTTGGAGCTTATGCAAATATCGCTGTGTTACTGAAAAAATATTTTGATGGGGCTGAAACGTCGTATTAGTTCATATCTTATACAAATATTACTACAGTTTATCTGTTAAATTCAAAAAAAAAATTCTCCACCGGCTGGATTTGATCTATCGGGCTCAAATTTTCTGGATCTTCTTTTTTTATGTAATTTCGAGGAAAAAATCAGTATCAAAATCACTGACCAACTTGCGCATACTTTTGTCAAAACGTAATGGATCTGCCGATATATTTTGTTTATGAACTTTAAATAACTCTTATCCACGATCTTTCATTGTTGACTTTTGTTTTTGCTGTGGTAAAATTTACGAGACTATAGTCACGAACAGAGCAATGACAACGCTTCTTTTTTTTTATTTTCTTGATTAAACTATATTTGTATATTCGTATATTCAGGTTTAATCGTTTATAATAAATATCAATTTGAATTATATTACAGAAACTTAGTTGATAAAGAAGTGCAAATTAACATTCCTTCCAAAGATGTATATTATAAAAATTTTATTGATGTACATAAAGAACAGTCACCAAAAATAGGAGAATTCAATCAAGATATAGATTCACAACCGGTGCAATTACCAACTTCTATCGATGATGACGCTAACGAAATAAAATTAGGAAATTTTCTGGTCAGTCCTCCGTGGGTTCAAGATCCAGACATTCAAAAAGGACGAGTTGAATTTTTATCTCACGAAGAAGAGATTTTTTGGAATCGTTTAATCAAAAAATATCTTTATCCTCTAGATGAAGATAAAAAACAATTACAGAAAACAGCTGATGCATTAAACAATTTACGCAATGAGTTTCTTTTCAAATTTTTCATGTTAAATGCATTATTTGTATTAACTGTTTTTTTAATGCAGCTCAATAAAGATACGTTGCATCTTCAATGGCCTTTGGGACTTTCATATAATATTACTTATCGGAGTGAAACAATTGAGGTAATTAAGAAAGAAAAAAAATAATTTGATGATTTTCCATGATCTGTTATTTTAACACACAGGTTCATTTTGAAAAAAATTACTTACAACTGGAGCCAATTGGTTGTCTATTTATAATTGGATTTGTTTTGATTCTCTTTATTCAGTTCATTGCAATGTTATTTCATAGATATAATACATTTCTTCATCTTTTATCTAACACAAGTATTAACTTAAACTGCTTTTTAAGAGTAAGTACCTCAAAAATTATAATTTTGATGCATATATACTTTTAGATAAAAATGAAACACTTCTATTGCTTAATTTCGAATAATGTTGGAATCAAATTTCACTATTGGAATTTACTAAATGCTGGAAACTAATCAATTTCAAGTATATCGAAGAATCTTTTACTAAACATTATATATTTCTTGGCTTTCTGTTATTGTATACGAGACCGATTTACGCACTAACATAGATCTAATTAAAATTTAAAGAGTTGTTGAAAAGAAAACGTTCATTTAGTGATAAATAATCATTTTTATTACTAGAAATAAAACTAGAAAAAAATTATAATTTGCTTCCCCCACGGAAAAATTATGTATCCTAGAATATATGCTGGGAATATATCCTAACATATATTCTAGGATATATGCTGAGTGTAAGAAAATTTGCCGAAAAGTATATCTTATGATATATTCTAGAATATATCCTACGATATATTCTAGAATATATCCTACGATATATTCTAGAATATATCCTGGAATATATATTAGAATGTATCCTAGAATATACCCTAGGATATATTCTAAGATATATATGGGGCATTCCACGCCAAATCGACCACTTTTGAACCCGACCCCTTTAGATTTTGCTGAAACTTTTCCATCCTTTTCTACCCTTTGGAAAACATTTTTGAGAATTTTTTTAAATTTTTTTGTCCAACCTCAAAAAAGTTATGGATTTTTCAAAAAAATGGCTTTTTTATTTTCAAATAGCCATAACTTTTTTAGAAATTAACTTTTGGGTACCTTTTTTTTTTTTTAAATTTTTGTTTTTGAATGAACTTTTCGAAAAAATACATGAAAAAAATTTAACATGATCAATTATATAAAATAATCGGTTTTTTTAAGTACAATCGTCATTTTTTCGAAGTCCGCCATTTTCTTTTTTTTTTTCTCAAAAAAACTTCAATTTACTTGACAACTATCCCTGCTAATCCCGAGCAGGGCCGATTTTTTTCTATATTTTTTTTATTTATTTAAAAAAAAATTTTGTTTAATTTTAAAAAATGAAAATTTTTTTTTCATAAATACTATTTATATAACAATAAAAATGTTATTTAATGGTTCTGAGGTATTATAATTTCTATTTATTATCTTAATCTTCGATTAAAATGACTGAAATTCTTTGGGTACCTTTTTTTTTTTTTAAATTTTTGTTTTTGAATGAACTTTTCGAAAAAATACATGAAAAAAATTTAACATGATCAATTATATAAAATAATCGGTTTTTTTAAGTACAATCGTCATTTTTTCGAAGTCCGCCATTTTCTTTTTTTTTTTTCTCAAAAAAAACTTCAATTTACTTGACAACTATCCCTGCTAATCCCGAGCAGGGCCGATTTTTTTCTATATTTTTTTTATTTATTTAAAAAAAAATTTTGTTTAATTTTAAAAAATGAAAATTTTTTTTTCATAAATACTATTTATATAACAATAAAAATGTTATTTAATGGTTCTGAGGTATTATAATTTCTATTTATTATCTTAATCTTCGATTAAAATGACTGAAATTCAAATTTTGGCGCGTCAATAGGATCGATAAACTAGGGTATGGCAATCACAAACTTACCTATAGCCAGTTTAGTAGATACACGTGATTATGTTTCGATTCAAAAATCTATAGTGTTCCTCTATATTGAAATCTAGAACATAACCTATAAATCTTTTTTGCGTTTTAGTGTCGAATAAAAAATTGTTGTCATTACATTTGATAAATAAAAAAATTTCTCAAGTTTATGAACATGTTCCTGATTCACTCTTTGTGGAAGTGTTAATTATTTTGATTTTACTAATCTCCATTTAGTGGAATAATTTCATTGAAACATCATGGCATCAATGAAGCAATTTGATCGATGTTGTAATCCTTTTGGGCTGGAGTCTCATTGTAAAAAAATTGGTTTGCGTCCAGCGACTGACTTTATGAAAGAAATGTTCGGATTAAGTAATTAGTATTTATTATGCAGTTCATGTCGAAAAGAAGCTTATAAGGTAGTTAAACAACAAACAAATACTCGTGATGATCCTAATTTTGATTCAAGTGATCACGAAGGCAACTCTAGTGACAGTAATGAAAACGATGATCATTTTGATAGCGATAGTAATACAACTGCCACAGATCTACCATTATCATTATCATTCCGTAAGGTTTTTAAATTATTTATACGTTTCTTAATTGAATACATTTTAAGTTATTACATGTTTTTATTATTTTTTAAGGTTCTATGTCATTTGATAACGAACCAAAAAATTCACAACCAAGCTCGGCATCTCAAGTTAGCGCTGCAACTCAGCTACCTGTAATAAATCATGCATTACAGCTGTTAAATCAATCACCAATCCCATCAAGGAAGTTAAATGACAATCAATTTTTAAAAAACAAAATAAATCAGATATCTGACAGCTTGAAAAAGGTTTTACTCTCTTCAACTGATAAAGACCCGGTCGATGATGATGGTGAAAATTTTCGCGCTTTAATAAAATTACTGCAAGACAAATTTAACGATAAAGAAACGGAAAGATCATTGAAAATACAGATTTTAACATTATTACCTGAACAATGGAGTGAAAGACGTATTTCTGAAACTATGAATACGTATTCATAATACGTAACAGGATATTTTGGTAGGAAAGGATTGAGAAAGGATTGTGGAGAGGATCATCTTAATGTGAGTGTATAGAATATGCGAGAAAAAATTATTAGATAGCTCGGACTGGGATTCGAACCCAGAACCTTCCGAAGACATGTCGGCTACTCTACCATTTGAGCTATCCGGTCTATACTAAATTTCCTTTCACTTATTCTATATAAATTAAGCCACACCGTCCATCTTACGGCTAGCATTTTTAACAAATATAAATAATGCTGTGATGTACATCAAGACATATGTCAAGGGTAGCAAAAGCGTTGGTTGAAGAAAAAGGTCTACTTTCAGTACCTGAATCAAAATTAGGTATATATAGCATTAAATTGATGTCTTAAACACAACTGAAGACTCACTTACTCAACATCTTTTTTTATAGGCATAAAAATTGCAGATCAAGTGAAATTGAAAGTTGAAAATTTTTATAATGATGATGAGTACAGTGCTCCGATGCCAGGTATGAAAGATTTTGTTTCAGTTCGAAATGATGATGGTAATCGAGTACCCGTCCAAAAAAGACTTGTCCTGTCTAACTTAAAAGAATTATACCAATGTTTTCGGGAAATAAACGCTGCAGAGAAAATTGGATTTTCGAGATTTGCTTCTCTGCGACCTAAACATTGTGTGTTAGCAGGGGCAAGTGGAACACATACCATCTGTGTCTGTACGATCCATCAAAACGTTAAGTTAATGATGCTTGGTAATTATCAAATTCATTAACAGTTATAAATGTGTGAATTTTTATTTAACTGAATCACAAATGTTTCAGGTGCGAATATTCATTCTCTAACAAGAAATACAGATCTATCCATTACACACTATAGTGATTGTTTGAGTTTGATTTATGTAAATCTCCATCGTTTCTATGTTATTTGGGTAGAGGTGAAAACTGTCCAGGGGTAGATGAGTTGAGTAACCTTTTACTGGCATGTTTTGAAAATCACGAAATTGAGAATATTACATATAAGTATTGGATATCTAAACCGAGAAGCAGTTTAGAAACTATTATTAAGCCTATAGAAGAATTTGTTGAAGATTTTTGTACTGAATTGAAAACTCTTCTACGTCACTCATTTATTGCTAAAGAACATGTTACGTGCTTGCAAGCAAAATTTTTGAAAACATTGAGAGAAACATTAGAACCAAATGAATTTATCATTATTTGTGATTTTACAGAAAATTACGCGTTCGTAGTGCAAAACGCGACATCTGGTTTTCACTGGAACAATAATCAAGCAACAAATTTCCCAGTAGTGATCTATTATAAAGTAAATGGCGAACTTAAACACAAAAGTTTAGTAATTATTTCAGATTGTAATAATCATGATGCCGTTGCCGTACATGTTTTTATCAAATTAATAACTGATTACGTGAAAAGTCTTCCTGAACGTTGTAACAAGATTTATTATTTTTCTGATGGAGCTCCTCAACAATTTAAAAACTTTAAAAACTTTGTAAATTTATATTACCACGAAGATGATTTTGATATTCCTGCTGAATGGCATTGTTTTGCGACAGCCCATGGCAAAGGTCCATGTGATGGTATTGGTGGTACCATTAAACGATATGCAGCAAGAGCAAGTCTCCAACTTGCGGTTGACAAACAAATAACAACGCCTGAAGAACTCTTTGAATGGACTTCTGATCCGGACAACTTGCCAAACATCATAACTAAGTTTTCCCCAGAAGAGGATTATAAAACAGCAGTAAATGATTTAAATGAAAGATTTTCAAAAATAAAACCGATCACAGGAACTCAACAATAACACTGTATAATTCCAGACAAAAATGGTTGTTTGTACATTAAAAACTTTTCAAATTCCAACGAGCACAAAATTTGTAAAATATTTGAACGCCAGAGACGTAATTAATAAATTGTTGAATAATTTTTCAATCATTGAAAATTTACATTATTAATCACTAGCTGTCACCCGCCCGCTCCGCTGGGCATTTTATAGAATTGTATTTTGAGATCTAGACTTGAAATTCAATCGGAGTATTGTTTTGACTTGCACAGATTCCAAATTCTATTGGATTGGCCTGAACCTTTTATCCATGTCATCATTCTAGCGAATATCCATTGTAACTTTCAATGTGCAATCACTATAACATTCCCGTGGCTTTCTCCAAAAATAAATAATAATTTTTGGATTTACGATTTTAATATTTGATTTTACTAAATCTCTTAAAATGAGTAGCCAAATTTCTTTTCCATATCTCAAGTGTTCAGAAAATGTATTCATTTTAATCTGTTACATTCCCGTGATCACGTAATAAGAACAATTCATCGGTTATGTGATCAGCAATAATAAAATGTATGCAAAA